CCCCTTAAACCTACTTTTTTTTTTCTTCTGTTTTTTCACTTCGGGGGCGTACCCCCCAGCATGCACACACCCCCCACCCCCTCAGTCGGCCGATCGCGGCCCGGGAAGGCCGCCGAAACGCCCCGTACGGCCGTACGTACGGCCGTATGCTTCGTACGGACGGCCCGTATCTGTACGGAGAGTAACATAGCTTCAAAATCCGCGGCCGCGCGGCCATGGCTGCGGGGTCGCGGCCCCAGCTGTGGGCACGGCCTCGGTTACGGGTGGCCGCCTCCATGGGGGATTCATAGCCTTGCACCTCACAGCAATTCAGGCCAAAGCGATGCTAAACGCAACACAGACGTAGAACTTGGATGAGACAAACCATCTCGTGGTGCGCCGCAAGCATATCCAGTGTATGTTTTTCGTCCCCATGTGTAAGGATCGCCTGTGAGACAGTGAGAGACAGAGTGAGACCTTTGCATGAAGCACATTTATTTCCTTCAATGCAAAAGGTTTCTATTGCAGCTACCCGCATCGCTGTCATCATTTGGGCAAGATTTATGCAAACCGGATGCGGATGCAGTTTGGAACGACTCGTAGAACTGGTGGGGATCTGTAGTGTGCTCAGCGCTTCATCCAAGCTGCTGTCAGAAGACAATGTTTAGCAGGAAAGAATGTGAACTTAGAGGACCCCTGCTGTGCTTGGAATGAGACCTTCTTTGATGGGGCATTGGACGGAGATTTACCCCTCGTAGAATCTGGAACCGCCCTTGATTTGTTTTCATTCACCGCACTTCTATGTTTACCAGCTCGCATCGCCCTGTCTGATGACGAGGACGCCCCCTGTTGTAACTGCAAATTTTATGTACAGACTTTACCGAACCTATCATGCAATCTTGGATTACGTGTCTGTTGTTCATTCAAGTCGCATGATAATGCCTCAATCCTCCCATTACGTTCTTCGACCCTGTCCCTCAAATCATCTCTCTGTCGCACCAATGTTTTGAAGGCATCATCATAGAGGGCGGTGAGCAGTCCGGGCCGCAGGGCGGTGTCACTGGTGTTGCTAGTTGTGAGAAAAAGGGTTTCTACACCTCCTGTCGAAGAAAGCTGCATCCCCAGCCCGCAACTTCAAAAAAGTTGCCTTCTTCCCTTTTTTTTTTTTTTTTTTTTTT